GCAGCGCCGAGGCGCCAGGGAGGGGAGGAGCGCGGGGGCCGCCGCGGAGCCGCCGGGACGGCGGGCGGGCGCGGCCCTGCGCGGGGTTCTCCCCGGGCGCGGCGCTCCCGGGACGCCGCCCGACTGCTGGACGGAGCTGCGCGGCTCCCCGCTGCCGCCGCGCAGCACCGCTGGGGCTGGGCCCGTCCTGCCGCTCCGCACCTGCGGCGCGGGGCCCTGCCCTGCCCTGCCCGGGCGGCTGCCCCTCCTCCAGGAAGCCGGATCTGCCGCATCCTTGTCGTCGGGCCGGTCGCGCACTCCCGAACGCGCTGGGCACGGCAGCAGCAGCAGCAGCAGCATGCAGCCCCCGACCCAGCCCCGCCGCCCTCCTGCGCTGCTGCTCCTCCTCCTCACGGTGAGTTCCGCCGGCCCCGCACCTGCCCCGCGCCCGGCGCAGCGCGGGGATCGCGGCGGGGCCGGGCCGGGCGGGGCCGCGGGTTGTTCGCGCAGAGGGAGCCGGGGCCGCTGTCCGGAGTGCGCGGCCGCTCGGCCTGGCCCCCAGGGCCCCCTGCCTTATCCAGCTGGAGAGTGCCGAGTCGTCACATCCAGGTGTTAAAAAGCTTTCTGTCCTGGGTGACGTTAAATTTCTAGTGTGGAAAGAAGGAGGATGTGTTTGACATCTACTTACAGGTGAACGGCTGAGCATGCTGCTGCACTGGCTTACGGAAACAACCGCGTTTTAGAGGCATATACTGAGCTACTTTTTTGTATTTTATGCTACTAAACACAAACTCCGGTTAAAGTCTTTGTATTCTTGTACCATATTGGTGCTGATCAACACCACTTTTTGTCTTGTCTTTTCACGCATCTTAAAATGTAGCATGACGTGTCAGGCGTTCACAGGTGAAGGACTGCGATTATCTTCAGACTTGTGCAAACATGCAGTTTGATAGAGTTATGTGGAATCTCTGTAGGGGTGAACCCATGGAAGGTCCTGCTGAGATCTGACTCCAGAGAGTGAAAAAATGGTTTCTCGATCATTTCTGTATTATTACGCTACTGAAGATCTTCAGTTTCCTAACACTTGTTGTGATTACCTCCCACGGTGATTTTTATCCCAAGATCTGATGGGACGACTTGGACTGATTCATTCAGATTCAGCAGGGTTTAAGTAAAGAAAAAACCTTTTACAGCTTTTGAGGCTAAGTTCCCCCACACAACACAGAGTTTATGCCTGTCTTGTTGAACTCTGCCTAGTTCATGGTAACATTTTGAATCAGTGTAGCTGGACTCTTTAGTGTGCTGGGAAACTTTTATATTTAAGTCTCCTAATCATACTCAACATTTAATGTAATTTTACATCCTTGCTTGATGTAGTCAGAGGTGATGCACAATTAAGTCTGCCTTGTGTGATATAGCAGGGAGGGAAATGCTGGGATTCCTCACCCAGGAGGAACATTTAGGTGATGAGCACACAATGCATTTCACCAGGGAGCAGTGTGTAGAGGTGACCAAGTGGTAACAGAGACTCAGCCGTGGTCTAGGAGTTTATGGTCTACAGTCTCCGCCACAGTTCCAGTGATGTGGAGTTGCTCAGGGTCCTTTGCACCCTGCTCTTTACTGGATGAGCCTCCTGAAGGGTTTGTTAGGGGAGTGTAACAGCAGACCCGAATATGCTTCATGCCTTTTGGCAGCATATTCCTCAGATAATACCCAGGGACCAAAGAATACAAAGTAAAGTCTCTTGAGTAACTCTTTGGGAGTCATTTGTCAGAATAGGCACTAAGGGAAAGGCACGAAGACCAGAAGGGCTGAAGATCCCCACCACAAAATTTCTGCCATTCACTGAAAATCAGATGGACACATTTGTACGCTGCTGCATCTTTGTTAGTGAACTGTGCCAGACCCAAGCTGTCTTTGCTGGCAGCCAGTTCCCATATCTCTGTATTGGATAAACCTGAGCTGGCTCCGTGTATTTTGACAGTAAATGTGTGTGTGTGGTAAGCACACAGTGGTACCACAATGGTTTGTAGTGTCTACCTGGTAGACTTTTACATTTTGTGATAACCACATGGCATTGCTTTCATAATATATTACCATCTTCCTCATGACACAACCCCCATATCACAAGGATTAAGCTGTTTACAAGTACTCTTTACTGTAAGATCAAGAAATGTGAATTATAACCATCAGCTAAAAGAGGTTTAGGATAATTTGTTGTTGCTACTATGTGCTTTTAATGCTTTTAAAGATATCTATAACCAAAGAAAAATTATGTAGGCGATATAAAAGAACAGTATCTTTGTCAAGTCAAGCTCTGAAAGATTAGTATTAAAATCAAGGTTCTCTCATGAACTTTTATCTCATTATTTGTGTGTGTGTTATTCCATATGTGTTTCAATGTACACCCACCTCCTATGGCTATTCCTTTTTTAGCCCCTTCTGTTCACATAGTTTTTACAATATCCCATTCTATAGAGTGGGAAATGAGGCACAGAGGAAGGCTGTCACTATGACAAGAGTACTTATTGTAGAAAGTCTAGATACTGACATTGTGGAGTGTTTTGCATTTTTATAGCATTTTATTTGTTCTCAGTGTATATCTTGGTGCTTACATATGGTTATCAGCGTTCAACATCGCTACACATCTCACTTCAGGTGTCTTGTTGGACACAAGAAGAAAAAGAGCATTTGATTGCACTTGTGGAAAGTGGTTTAAGTGACAAGTTCAGAAATACCTCAGATCACTAAATAAATCTAGTGATCTAGATCACCCATCTGCCAGCAATGGTATCTAGCTTTCTCATCTGAAAGTTCCCCCATTCAGTTTTGTCTTCCAGTGTCTGCCCTAAAAAAAATCAAGATCTTGAAGTAAAAACTCCACTCTATGCACAGTTGTGTTCCACTCACAATCCTGGAGCTGTTTTATGTCTTTAAGAAGACAGGGAACTTGGGGGAAAACAGCATTTGATCACATTGTTAAATCCAAAATCCTCATCTGTAGGAACAAGGAAGTAGTACAGGTAAACCTAGTTCTGACTTTTCCTAGTATTTACACCTTTCCAGATCTTACTGACTTGATATTTTTTCAGTGTAGCTCTCAAGGAGTGTCAACATAGTCTTAAGAAATAAAAAGCAAAACAGTTTATCATTAGGGACTTTTACTGATCCCCACATTGGATCATGGGCAAAGTCTTGACTTTCAGGTGCACAACACAGAATTTCTATGATTAGAAGTGTGCTAATTACTAGTCCAAAGCTTTTAAATATTTTGAAAATCACAGTGAAAAAACTATCAGTCCAAGTTATGTATCCAAGATAAATTTCCATTTGATTAGTTTGAGCTTAACAAAGTTAAAAGTTACCCGAGACATGTTAAGCAATCTTGACAACCAGCTTCCTTGGTAATTCTAAGTGGCAATTCTGAATATTTTAGACAGACCAAGGGACCTGGCAGAAGTGCCATGCCGGTGACTGACCTTCTGAGCTGAGTAATCCCCGGTATCCTTGGCAGTGCATCAAGACGGATGCCGACTGCAGGGCAGAAAGAAAAGAAGCTGTTTGAAGTCTTAGAGACAAGAACTTCATCATGGAGGATAATCCTGGTGTGTGTCCAAGCACTCACTCTCAAAGTGTATTAGAGTGTACATAGCTGTGGAGAGCAAAAGCTGAGCAAATGCAGCCTGCTGGTCTTGCTGCTCAGATTTCCAAGTCCATCTTCAAGATAGGAGCACTTAAAAAATAAACCCCTAAACACTTCATGAATATTAATTCTTTCTCAGGAAACCATTGAGAGCTGCCTTAGTTGTTATTCTGCCCTTCAGGTACCTGCATGACAGGTAGTAAAATTATTTACTCTTTAGGAAGATACAGAAACGTCAAGAAATGGCAATACTAGTGAACAATGATGGAATGAATATATGCCAGTACATTTTAGAGTACACTCTTTAGGCCTGATCCTAGGAACATGTGTAAATAGCATGATGTGTAAGTCGCTATCTTAGACCAGATTCCACTTGCGTAAGGGCTGAAGGATACACCCTGTAAATACAGTTTGTTTGTAGAGGTATGTGTAACTTTGAGAACTTGATGTAGGGAAGTTGTTACCATTAAAATCTTGATGGTAGCTCTCCAGTAATCCATGTCTACTTGCTGTGTGAAAGAAACCTCATATTTTGGAGTTAAAATATGGTATATAAACCTTCTGCTTTGCAATGTTCTGTTATTACTCTGAGTATATAAGTAATCATGTAAACTTAGATACTATGGATAACATGATTCTCTGGCTAACATGCTTGTGTTTTGGGGTTTTTTTCCAGAATTTTGTACCGTCCTTTGGAAAGGAGACATTACAGACAACAGCAGTTACTCCACAGTTTGAGAAAAACATGGATTATGTGGACTTTATCCATTTAAACATTTTAGAAA